CCACCGTTTCACCGCTCCACCGTTTCACCAGTCTCAAGCGGTGGAACGGCGAACGATTAATCGTCACCGTTGCATCCCTATAATTGAGCTGGAAGAGATTTGTTCCCCAACTTTTGTTGAATTTGTTTTTCCTTTCTGAGAAAAAAAGTGAACAGGTCTATGTCTTCTTTTCTATGATCTTTAGTCACCAATTAGTGACATTACGATAGAACAAAGAAATTCAACGTAAGTCATATTTTGTTGATCGAAATCATTGTAACAGACGAAGGCATTCAAAAGGCTTGCTTGAAGAAAGTAAATAAATATTCGAATCCAATTTCACCTAGATTTTCTGTCAATTGAATAACGAGAGATTCGTTGATCAAATAAATCTACGCCACACATGAACTTGTTGTATTTCGATACCATTTCTGGGCAAATAATAGCTTACTTTGAACGATCTTTTTTTTTCTAGTAATCATTTTAGTTTTTATTGGATCAAAGGAATTACTTGCAATCAATACCAATTGCTTGTCTTGCCATTTGACGACTGGAATTTCGTTAGAAGAATAGTATTTATATTTACCTCTTTCTAGAACATTCCAGAAATGTCTCAATAAACGACTATATATCTCCTTTAAAGATTTTCTGGAAGGATTCTAGAGCGTTCTTGATCGTTTCATTCCAAGCGATTATGTATCAACTTTTATTAATTATATTGTGAAAAATAATTATAAAACATTTGTAGGTTTTTTTTATACCATGGGAATGAAAGGGTTAATAAAACATTGATTCTTGATGAAATAACTTTATAACAATTATGTTTATAATTATATTCTTGATTTCTCTTGTGTACCATTAAATTTCCTATTTATCAATTGTAAAAAAGAAAATCTAAATGAAGAATTTCATGGAGTCAATCATAAATTTGATGAACCTCAGAAAAATATAATATACAGGGTGGGAAATAGTATTATTCAAGGAGGGTACCGCTATAATTTCAAATAGAAGATATGATGCGTTTTATACCAAATGAAAGCTCGTGAAAAATGGGATTTAGGAGTATAGTTGACCGTTGATAATATGAGAGTAGGATATAGAATTACGAAAACTTTCAATTTTTCAATGCATAATTAGGCATTTCCACAGGTAGTCAACCACTGGAAACATCAGGTTTGCTCGTCTTTCAAGCTTTATAGAGCTCTCTTCGCTGCTCATTTTGGCTAAAAAAAGTTTCTAATTTGATCCATAAATAATGATGTTAGGGTCAAAATTCTCATGAGCATATTAGATCTATCAGCCACAACAGCTTGAGATTGTCAGTATTTTGGCGCTAGCATCATTGATCAAACTAGAAACGTTTTTTTAGCCAAAATGATCAGCGAAGAGAGCTCTATTATAAAGCTTGAAAGACGAGCAAACCTGATGTTTCCAGTGGTTGACTACCCGTGGAAATGCCTAATTATGCATTGAAAAATAGAAAGTTTTCGTAATTCTATATCCTAAATCCCATTTTTCACGAGCTTTCATTTGGTATAAAACACATTATATCTTCTATTTGAAATTATAGCGGTACCGCCCTTGAATAATATTATTTCCCACTCTGTACTTGATAAAATTTTCATTCGATAATTGATGGATAAAAGAAAAGGTTCAAAATAGAATGAAGATAACTGTCTTGTTGTTAGATCTAATTTTCAATAAATAATACTTATTATTTATATTAATTTTTGTAGAAAACTGTGTCGAATCTGAAATGTTTTTCGTTGACATCATTTTCGATAACATTGGAATATGATAATCAAATTATTCCACTCCTTCATCACATGTCACAATTAGAAAAATTAACATTATCTCTTTATGTTCATGGTCGAACTTCGTTTATTGATGGTACTCATCTGCATAATGATATCATTAGTAAAATGCCCTATCTACATAGATTTAATTTTGATATTGTCACCGAAATTGTCATAATCAATAATGAATATTTGCCAACATCTGATGATGTTCGACGTCCACTTATCGAAAAAGGATATAATGTTGATTGCTATGTTGACTATCTTGGAACTGAAAGAGGTCGATGTCATATTTACTCGGTTTCCTCTACTATGGAACGTATGCATGTAATTACTAACAAATTTCCTGACGGTATATTTATGAATGTTCGTATAGTATATGTGAGTGATTCGATGCATTCAATTGAATATGATTTCTTCGTTCGAATTTCACAAGCATTTCCATTACTTAAACATTTAACTGTGTTAAGTACTGTTAACCAACAGAAATCGACAAATGAACTCGATGGACATGAACAAACGTTTTCAATTATTGAATATTCTCATCTGATGACACTCGATCTAATTTCGTCTCATATCGACTATGCGAAACAATATCTTCTTAAGACAAGTTTACCACGTCTTAGTACACTAGGTATTGACTATGAACACTTGATAAACGTAACAGAAGATGGGTGTGGGTGTGGGTGTGTGGCGTATGATTTATTTTCATTCATACCCACACCCACACCCTAACCTAAAATGAACAATCAGTTTTTGTATTTTTTTCTTTTATAATTTATTACGAGAAAACTATTGTAAATGTAATCTACCTTTCGAACTGATACACATATGAAGTCGACTTATAACTGTTTTGCAGAAATTTCAACTTATTTTTAGATATTCCTTGAAAAATCAGGTAATGGAAGATTCTTCATAAATAGATCTAATAACTCATAGAATTTTTCTTTTTACCAGATATTGAATTTTTAAAAGAGTAGTACCTTACTACAAATATATCACAAAAATTGAATTTACTTGGAAATTCAATATGTCGACAGATGAATATTCTGAAAGTTGTATAAGTGTATCTATGGACAAAATTGCATAAGCAAAACAGCGAAGTACTATAAAGAATTATTTTATTGAAGTTGTTCTTTCACATTTAAAAGAAAAAATATTAATCATTCATTATGGATCACTGAATGTTATCAAAACCTATGATCGATAGTAAAACTCGCTCATGTTTAATTTTTTCTTACAATATATTCTGTTAATATTAAGACATTTATTGATAATTAGTGATTGTTGAATTCAAAGAGAAAAATTTTGAAAAACTTACAATGTACATTCATTTTCGTTTTTATCAAAAAAACTCAATATTTTTCAATTTTCCATTCGGAATAATTTGAGATTTGTTGTTTAGTATTTAGACAAATAATAATATCTGAAATATTATTTTTTTCAAATTTTCTCCATATCAAATATTTTCATTTGTATATCAAAACTTTTAAAATGTTGCACAAGAAAAGCACTATTGACATAAGAACCAAGAACCAAACAAATGCTGTGACAATAATTTAAGATAATTTGACTGGAAATAATATGTGAAAATTTTTCTTTTGAATTTATTTAGCTAGATTCGTACCTGATCAAAACAAAGAAGTTTATACGATTTAGAAATAAACAATATGATATTAGCTAAACTTATTAAGATAAGAATAAAGCCTTGTCAAATCAAAATTTGATCTTACAGATTTTATTTTGATTTTTTTCCATAGAGATAGATCACAAAAAGAATCTAAATAATTCATTTGAATAGAGAAGACTCCAACGATGATCTAGGAGAGGAGAAATAAATTCTTCTACCGATTCCTAAACATAATTTTTCAGTATTCTAGAATATGAAAATAAGACTCTGAGATATCTTATTTTGTAGTAAATTGATAAAGGTAATAATCTAATAGTGTAGGTGTTTTCTTTTCTTAATTTTTTTTTCTAGAATTACTTAATTTGAATCGGCTCTGGCTTCATCACAGTAGGTTTTCGGAGTTAGATACAAAGCTCAAATGCATGAATAAGAATCAATCTTCAAAATGTATTAATAGGAAATTTTTTTTTCATATCTTAGAGTATTTTTAAATGCTTTGAAATTACTGCAAAAATTTTGTTATATACAAATTAATATTAACAAAAAAAAATAATAAATGAAATATTAGTCCATTGAACAAGATCAATGTGAGATTTTTTCAAGATTTCTTATGAAGATGGGTGTGGATGTGCATGTGCGGTAAGAAACAACGGGAACATTTACACCCACACCCACACCCTCTCTCTCTTCATCTTCATTGGTTATATTAACCTGTGTTCTATGTGTAAATGATGGGATTTATGATATAAATAAGCTGAATAAATCGTAGTTACATCATTACCAGCATTTATTTTATCAAAACTCGTCACATTGTTTACATGCATAGGGCACGCTTTTATACCAAACGGAGAGAAAGAGAGAGAGAAGATAGAGTAGAGAACGAAAGGCTAATAAATGGGCAATAGAAAGAAAGAAAGAGACAAATATATTGTTATCATCACAATATTTAATGATCTTAATAAAACATAAACAAAAACAACTAATCAATATGGCACGTATATTATTCAGAATAAATATTTACAGTTACAATTGTTTTGAGAGTTTTTAGATATGACCGATTATAATTTTTAATTCTATTTGGTACAAGAGTTTTGTTAGGTCAACTAAACTAATAATAATATTATCATTTATTTTTATTCTTAAATCTAATATCAGTAATAAACCAATAGTTTAATTGAAAATTTTTGTATCAATATATGGAGTCGTATTGTTTAAAAGTTTGAATTTGATTAAAGTAGCTAATCTCAAAAATTATGATGTAAGTTTGCGTTTGAAAGAGGATCAAATATCATATGTAGTGAATAATTGTTACATTCAATCATTTCAAGGTGGTCATTATTTTCATGAATGAAAGTTTATTTTATAAATGTTGATGATAATCTATGATAATAAATTAGCCAAACATAAACAACAGCTTCGATCCTCTTAAGTATATGTATAATGCCCACTTATTCCATTTAGTCGAAAAATTTTGTCAAATATATCTTTATAAATTATATCAAGTACCCAACTCGTATCAAAAAATAATTAAAATGTCTCAACATTTTTTATCAAAAGATAATTAAAATCTCTCAACACTTTTTATCAAAAGATAATTAAAATCTCTCAACATTTTTTATCAAAAAATAATTAAAATCTCTCAACACTTTTTATCAAAAGATAATTAAAATCTCTCAACATTTTTTATCAACAATATCAATAGCTATATCGAGTTGGTAGCCATTAGTCGAATGAATTTTCGTCGAATGAACTTTTGGTCGAATGGGAAAAAACGATTCGTCGAATAATATTTCGTCGAAGGACGTTTCGTCGAAGGACGTTTCGTCGAATGACGTTTCGTCGAATGATAATTCGTCGAACGACATTTCGTCGAAAAATATTAAAAATATTTCTCAAATTATTGCTTGATTTAGAAAAATAATAGTAAAGGATAGTTGCGTTTTAAGTATGAGATTCTTAGCATATACTTGCATTGTGGGTATAGTCACGGTGTAACTATTTTTTATATATAATTATAGTAATTAGCTAAATCTGTCATAGTTTTTTGAATTTTAAGAGCTTGTTTGTCTTTAGTTATAATCAAACGACAAAATATATTCTTTTCTTGTAGAGAAAAAATATAGAAGATTGAAATGTTTTTTATTGTTCTTGTCATTTTGAAGTAATCATACACCGTTTCGTTTACGTAAACCATACGGTGATGTACGCAGCATATAGGCACGTTTAACACGTCGATGTTTCATAATCACAGCTGTTTTGACTGACGATATATTAGTTGTGGATCTAGGAAATGAAGTTCACAGATAAGTTTATATAATAGTGGAGGAAAATAAATACTAACGAAACATATTGTTGTTGACTATCATCGGAATTATTTGGTTCAAGTATATCTACAGTCGATGTTTGATCATCATTTATTCTAAATATATAATTATATTTCAAAATAGTGCAAATAGAGTTCTGAATAAATCAACTTCAAAAGTGTTTTTCATTTTTTCATAGTCACAGTGCAAGTATAGTTTCACTGCAGGTAT